AAAAAAAAAAAAAAAAGAAAGAAAGAAAGAAAGAAAGAAAAATCATCTCTCTTCTGAAAACGAAAAAAATTTAGTGAAACATCTTTCCTTTTAGAATTTGGGCAAAGGTTCGCTATGGATGGTAGACGCCCAGTATCGTCCAAATCTGATACAAGCGTTATCCCGCGCTCCTTTCCCACCTCCAACCGCTCAAACTTTGTCTTCCCCTGAAAAGCCACAAAAGAAGAATACCAGTACACGTCTACCTGATCCCATTCTCTTTCCATATCTCTCCAAAAGACTGGCATCGAGCAACATTACCGACAACACAGACACTGAAGTAGATAGCGATGTAGACGCAGCTGCAGCCGCTATGCTTTCCTTTAAACACGGACCCATTATTTTAAATCACAACAAAGGCAAAGTATCTGATGAAGGAGATGACCGAAATTACTGAACGAACATTACGTTCGATAACTCATTCAATCTTGTTGCAGATCGTAAACGGAAAATACCGGAATCCGAGGTTTTGGTTCCTGTAATCACCAGAAGCTCCAGTGAGGACCACACTTACAGTTGTATTACCTCAGTCAGGCAGGAAAGGTAAGGCTGTCATTAACAACAGCTTCCATCTATTAAAACAACATCATGGATAATAAATTTGTATACGTGTTTGTTTCTCAAGTAAATATCCAAGGAAGGAAACAAATCCCGATTTTGATGAGCAGCGAAAAATAGCGGAAGGCGCGGACGCGCTTTTGAATCTAGCTGGTGTTACCACACCGCTCAATCACAATAAAACGCATCATGTACAAGGTATTAACTCGACGCCAAAGTCCGAGGGTACGTCGAAGCTGAAAAAACGTTCAGCTTCGAATGATTATTCGAACATACCAGAGAAAAGACGTAAGCATTGGCCAAAGTGGAGTGAAGGAAAGCGGTATTTAAAACAAATTATATAAGGATACTTCGGTTTATAATATGTACATACGTAGCATCGCGAATTTCCTATTTTTCTTTTCCATATTCAAATGCGAATTCAAAATTCTATCCTCAGTATGAATTTCATTGACGATGGACTTAAATCTTGTGTCGTTGACGATGGATCTGTTGTCTCTTTGGATAAGATTTTGATTAGATTGTTAGGCATCTAAGAAGAAGAAAGAGTGAGAAGAACTCGATGTGTTCTAAGTGAAAGAAAAGAAGCTCTATTAGGTGCATTTCTATTTAAAAGATTTAAAAAGAAAAAAGAATGATGACAAAGCAAAGGTGGCGAAAGGAAAGAAAAAATTGGCGGTCGCTCAGGGTTAGAACTCGCTGTATGCCAAAATGAATTCAATAGCACTAAGCAACAAGCAATAATAGAATGATAGCGTTAAAAGGAAGAAAATTACTTTCTCAACGTATTGTTAAGACATGGATACAATTATAAATGGCTCATGGAACATCAATGAGAAAACAAGAAAACAATATGTCGCGTACTAAAACTAAAATAACGATAAACTTTTTAGACCTGTTGTGACAATTATACATATTAATTCATAGAGAGTTTAATTAATGATAATAGAGTTCTATATTAGGTTTTTTGTAGATATGTATAGAAATATAATTGATATCTATTCGATAGAGAAATTGATAATATATTTAAAGAAAAAATTATATATATATATACAGAAACACACACACACACAATGCGCACCCACGCATGTACACATACACACTCGTTCACTCACTCTCACGCGCATATATACACGTATATACACGTTCATGTTCACATACTCATTGATTTACACTCAAAATACATCTGGTCATGTACGCAACTGCATGTGTGCAAAATGCGTGCCGCGAAAAGCTATATAACGAAAAGAACTTTAAAAAAAAGAAAAAAAACAAAAGTCAAGGTACACTGAATATGGATTTGAAATGAACAATATTATCATTTCATGCCTTTTTCTACTCTCTTCGTGGCTTTTAAGATGATTTTGAACAATGCTGTACATATGTAGATCCTGTAATGTATGCACAGACCAGTTTAGAAAAAAATTTTGTTAAAACATCGATATATATATATATATATAATGTATAACATATATATAATGTACAATAATATATAACACACACACACACACACATATATATATATATATAAAAGTTGCGTCGAATTGATAAATATCGATTGGAAGAAATGTATAAAGGTATAAGGCAAGAGTGTCATCCTATTTTTATAAAAAAAGAAAATAAAAAAACAAATATATCTATATTATTAAGAGATCTTATGAATACCTGATAAATAATGAAGATGTATTGAAATTGATGAACTGGTCTTGTATACATTGATATTGTAGTTCTATATAGAGAGAACGTATATTTTTACA